GGCGGCTGCGTGGACTACGACGAGTTTGTCATCTACAAGCAGGCGCGGAATTTTCTTTTTTGCGGGGCGCAGGGACTCGTCGCCAGTCCGGGGGCCGAGGAGTCTTAGAAGGAGTTCCGGCGGGGCCGGCGGCTAGAGACTTCAGGACCGAGTGTCCCCAGCGAGTTTGGAGTAGGACCAGGCCATGTGCAGCCTTGGCCGGTAGCGGTAGCATGCATTCCTATCCCTTGGCAGCAGGGTTCCCCGCAACATACGCGCACACACAGGCGCGCACACGCCCACACACCCACACACCCACGCATGTACACATGCACCCATGCACGCACGCACCCACCCACTTGTCCACCCATCACGCGCACAAACACACACAAGCTCACGCACACGCACACACTCACGCGCCTTGTGGCAAGATTGAATGGCTCTCGTGGGAGTCGGTTTCAGCTCGACTTTTTGGTGTCTCTGCGAAGGCCCAAGCCACGCCGCAAGCCCAGAAAATTGTCACTTGTTCAGCAGACGGCATGCTCGGCTCGCGCTTGCTCGCCCCGGCGCTGAGGCCTCAGTTCATCGTGGATTACAAGCACATTGATTGCTGCACCTGCCGTAGTTGCATGCGGGAAGCCATTGCCTAGTGGCGGCCTAGTGCCTAGGGTCACAGCGGGGGCTTCGGAGGTTTCGGCATCCCGAACCCCCCCGGTGTTCTGGCACTCTCTACACGAACGTGTATACAGAGCCGCCGAGCACTGTTTCACAGAGGCTCGCCGAAGCGACCCCTGGATAGCCGGCCGATTCGTGCAAGAAGAGAGGGAGCCAACTTGGCTGATCGCTGAGAGGTCACTGTTTGACGTAAGGCCGTGCTCCGCAGTCGTTTTAGCCTTGGCTTTGCGCGCCGCGGTGCGCGCACAATGCGGCTCCCCTTCTGAGAGGCACTGAGAGCGGAATGGCGGGTTACGAAGCTCCCTTTTTTGCGCCGCTGCGAGTAACTCTCTGTGAGGACTCCTCGGGTTCTGGGCGGAGAGGCTGCGCTGTGGTCCGGGGGCCGCAGAGAGAGAGACAGACGGCCGCCCCCTTTCCGCCGCCGCCTTTCCGCCCCCTTTCCGCCGCTGCCAAGGTGAGAGTCGGGCGCGGCCCCGGAGTCTCGGCCGCGGCCGCTTGGCCCTCACGGCGGCCCTTGGATCGCCTGCAGCCGATGGGCTGTGCACAGGGCGTCGTGTCCAATCCGGTGCGCCTGCATGCATGGGCCCATGCAGCTATAACTCTCACCGACTCTAACCGTCGGATTAAAGGAGACAAGGGGCGCGCAGCAAGCGCGCAGCAAGCGGAGCAGCGGAGGTACAGCCCGCGGCCATGGAACCCAACAAGCCCATCGAGCCTGTGCATCAACATTCAGAGACCTCCTTGCCGGGAGACCCGGAGACGGAGGGAGGACGATATGCAAACGCCGTGTCGTGATGTTTTTGAGACCCGTGGCCATGAGGTCGCAGCCGTCGGGTAGCTTGAAGCAGTCGTCGACGCCTCTCGAACGAAAGGTGAGTTGGGGTCTCAGAGTGCGCGCGGCTCCGCTGCGGAGCGGCTCCGCAGGTGGGGAGAGCGGGAGCGGTGTGCCGTCGCTGAGGCAGCGATGGCTCGCCCATTGTCATGGGGAAGTACAAGATGAGCATGACCAAGCAGGACGGAGCTTTGACGGACTTTGAGAGTCGGAGGGAAAGGCCGCCACCCAGCGAGGACCTGATGGGTGAAGGCACCTCGAGCATCTGCCGAAAAGGCGTCTGCATGGAGCCGCGGACCCAGCGGACCCAGCCTTTCCCTTCTGAGAGAAAAAGGGAGTCGGAGAGAGCCGAGACTCTTGAAAAAGGGTCTTTATAGATGGATCTTTAGGCCAATCAAGACCTCTGTACGCGATCTGAGAACCTGAAGAGACAGGCACAAGCGAGTCCCACCCTTCACCATTCCTCGACTTCGATATATACCTCAAGACTCAAGACAATCAAGAAGAGGCCAGGGCACGGGGTGGGGCAAACAAGAACGTCGTTGTCAAAGACTCTGTCTTTCAGGAGGAGCCTCCAGAATCAAAACTGAAGAGACGAAGTCCAAGACAGCAAAATGCAATCAGCGATCAGCGAATGCCCGACCAAGCAAGGGCTGGGCGTCACATCGAGGGAAGCAGTTTAGCATCCAGATCCCATCTGTAGGGCTCCGTGCCTTTTCCCCTTCAGACAGAGTCGGTCGCCACATTGTCATGATGCACGCCAGCAATCGCAGACACAGTGGCTGCACAGAGCTGCTGAAGCTCTCTGTCAAGACGTTGGGCAATGCGCATCATTTCTTTCCGCAGACTGTTTTGGCATCGACGCAAAGCGCATCTGAGCCGGAATCCGTCTGATTCTGGGGTCAGGAAAAATGAAGAACTGAGTCAGCCTGAGTTGCACTTGCGGCCCTGAAGGAGTCGAATCAGACTTGACCCCGTCTGCACGTTTCGGTTCTTGGTGCCCAGTGCGCGCTGCCGGCTGATACACGTGCTGCTCCGGCAGTGTGTTTCATGTCTGACCTTATACTAGTGATGTCAATGGCGTCCCTCTCTGATGTTCTCAGACCCGCTTTCACTAACCACGCTCGTCTGCTCGTTCCGCTATACGGGTTTGTTCAAATCGGTTTCGACCCACATCTTCCCGCTGCTTCGTCTCGAAGCCGAGCGAGAGAGAGCGACCAAATTTAACTGAGGACCGGCACCGAGGTGGCCATCAAAGTCTACAAGGCGCCCCCTGTTCGGAGTATAGCTGCCTAGCTCCTTAGGAGGGTTTTTTCCTGGAGAGAGCGCAAGCCGCAAGTCTTTTCTCATCTTTTCTTCCCTTCTGATGTCGATCCGTCGCTCTCTCCCTCCCTCTCCTTCGCGGCATGCGGCCGGGGCGGCACGGCTTTGTCGAGGCTTTGAAGGAGACCCACAAGGGCGAGGACGTGCGCCTGCAGAAGTTCCGCAGGTCGCGGGCCCAGAGCGAAGCGGCGAAGCGCGAGGCAAAGCCTAGACAAGCGCTTTGCGCTTTCTGAGTCGCAGAGAACTCCGCCTAGACTGGGGCCTCTAATAAGCGCTCTACCTCTCTCAGGCAGATCAGCGTCCTGAAGATGTTGCAGGAGCCCTTCGGCACCGTGCCCGAACCTCAGGAAGCTGCGTTGCACGCCGTCATCTTTGCTGTAGACACCTCAGCCCGACCTCAGGTCGGACGAGACGCTCTGGCACCCGCAGCTCGCAGCGGTCAGAAGCCCACAGAAGCCTTTGGGGAGAGAGAGAGACGCCGGGGGCCTGTGCTGCGTTGCAGACGAAGCCGTCCAAGCTCTTCATGTCGCTTCTGGACTACAGCAAGGACAAGAGCCGGGCGCCCGGCAAGCCCACTGAAAGACTGTGCCAAGGGCTCTCAAAAGCAAAGAGAAGTCAAAGAAGAGACCCTTTTGCAAGAGACCCCAGCTTGTTTTGTTTTGTGTGTGTGTGTTTGTTTTTGGAACCCTGTGACGAAAAGGGACTTGCAAAGAGTAATCGAGGATAATCGAGGGCAGGGGATCCGCCCAGCTCATGAGTGGTGCAGTTGGAAGCCTCCTGCTGACTCCGAAGATTTAGAGGCTCGAGAACCGATTTTTCTAGACTTCTCGGAGAATCGGAATGCACCGCACACGACTGCGTGGCGTGTGTCTCTGCTCCGTGAGGTGGAACTCCAGCTCCGGATCCGACAGCCGCTTGGCAGAAGGGAAGGGCCCCGAAAGGGCCCTGCGCGGGGGGCCGAAAGGCCGGGAACCGCAGTCGCAGTCGCAGTCGCCGCAGCAG